CCTCAAAAAAAAAAAAAAAAAAATCAAAAAACTAATAGATTCTTATTATATACTATGATTATAGATATATTTAATTTGAAAATATTATATTATAAAATAAGTAAACAAAGCTTATTTTTAGGGGAATGAGAATTTGCGAGGTAACTGCCATGAAAATAATGTTACAGTGTACGTAAGTTTGTAACATTTTCTTTAAAAAAATTTAAATTCAAATGAAAATGTTTAACATTTTAAATTTCGCAAAATGCCTCCAGGTTCCTGTCCATCATAAGTGTCTGTCTTAGACAATGATTTTGTTTCTAGATTCATCAGAGATGTTATGGACATTATGGTTGAGTATGAGCTTTTGTGCACTTCGTGTGTTCTGTCAGGTCCTGTAGGCGTGTCTCGTGATCTCTGTTCCTGAGACTAAAGCCTCTGAAGCGATCATCCAATCATCTCCTCATCCTCTCACGCTCTTTCGCCCGTCTCTCTTTCCCTCCTAATTCCATCTTCATTAGCATTTACTCATTTAACAGATGCTTTACAGTTTTTTACAATCGCAACTCTTCACACAGCGAGCACAACATCAGTGTCTGTGGGCTAAACTGTGGATAATTTATCATTGCTTTGGCACAAAATGCATTCACTGACCACATCTGTCAAATTACATGAATTATTTTCTCACTTCGACACAAACACCACCAAAACCTTATGTACTACACAAGCCAATTTGCACAAAATTTCTAAATTGTTAAACTTAAGCTCAAAACCTAGCACAGTACAAAAATGAAAAAGACAGAAATTTGATACATTTCTACAGTAATGTCATATAGAAAAATATTCTGAATGTAAAAAATCAAATACTATCAAATACAGCTTAGTCTTTCACTTTCATTACCATCCATACAAAAGAGGAAAACTTCTGTACTGTAATGTATACACGGAGCATGTAACATATAATGCAGTGAATTATAAATAGTGTAGAGTATCATTCTGGTTTTGTAAAGAAATGTAACAAAAGCAATACTGTATAATGCTCCCTGTTGTTAGTGTTTTTGGGTTGTTGTGTTATGAGTGATAAAGTGTGTTGAAAACCATTGCTAGTGTTATAAAAGAATGAAGGTGTTTTGGTAGTTTTAGTGCATTTTGAATTCAAGTTGAAAGATGTTAGGAGAACTGCGTGAAGAGTTTTGAAAAAGTGACTTTAGTGTTGATAAATGTGGATCTTCTCTCTCACCTCGCCGGAGTTCTTGTCTGGTTTGTCTCTGCTGTCCGTGTGGATCTTCCTGAGCAGGTGCTTGATGCGTTTGTCGTAGAACTGATAGCGACGGCTGCTGTTCTCGTTCAGCTTCCTCACCTGACTCAACAGGAAGTTAGGAACCTGGGGGCGTATTAAAGATCCTTGCTTTAAAATCTTATCTGTTTGGTAATTTCAGTTAGGATCACATTTATTACAGAACAGCATTTCTTAAGTGCGCTATCCTACCTTAGCTACAGATAGGAAGGGGGTATTACAGAAACCTCCTAACTTGACAAAAAATCCTAAAAATTGTCTTAACTTTAGGGCAACCCCACAGCTGTCCAAACGGGGAAAAAAACACTTATAGCTGTGCTGTCCAACAATGGCATTACGTTTATTAATAATTGAAAATGAAGAATGGAGATGTTTAATGGTAGAAAGACTCTTGGGAGGACCCTGAAGATGTGTTACATTTTGATGCATGATTTGTTTTAAACTATGAAACTTGCAGGATGTTGATACAATGACCTCTTGCATGCCAAAAGATCAAGGCAAATGTGACCCAGGGACATTTTTTTGAAATTGAGATTTATACAGCATCTGAAAGCTGTATAAATAAGCTTTAAATAAATAAGTATGGTTTGTTATGATAGGACAATATTTGGCTGAGATACAACTATTTGAAAATCTGGAATCTGAGGGTGCAAAAAAATCTAAATATTGAGAAAATCGCCTTTAAAGTTGTTCAAATTAAGTTCTTAGCAATGCATATTACTAATCAAAAATTAAGTTTTGATATATTTACGGTAGGAAATTTACAAAATATCTTCATGGAACATGATCTTTACTTAATATCCTAATGATTTTTGGCATAAAAGAAAAATTGATAATTTGACCCATACAATGTATTGTTGGCTATTGCTACAAATATACCCCAGCGACTTAAGACTGCTTTTGTGCTGCAGGGTCACATATTTGATTTCTCATGTCATCACCTCTTTAAGTTAATACCTAAGATAAGAAACTTTCTGTAATACGCCCCCTGCAGAAGAGCACATCAAACACTCTTGAACACTTTGGGAAGAAGCGAGTTTCTCCAGATCTTTACCGTCCACAGCAGGTCCTGGTAGCGGATGAGGAGTCTCATGATGTCGGCCGCCCGCTCCGCCTGACCCTTCTCTGGACCGTCCACTGCTAGTTTACTGGGAACAGCTTTGTGCAAGAAGAGGTTTGGAGCCATGATGGTGGAGACAGCCCACAGGTTCATGCGGTTACGCCTCTCGCTTAGGACCACCTTACTGAGGAACTCCAGCAGCACCTGGAAAAACATGCATTCACACTTCAAGGTTTCCATCCTAAGTGGCGAATTTAACTTATGTGGAAAATTGGGAATTCACGAATTAAGCACCATTTCCATCCAACGAGTCAGAGAACAAAATCATCACTTCCTGATAAACTGGCACTAAATATCACTAAAGCCACTGAATATAATAATTCTCAAATATAATAAATTACTTGCGCTTCGAATGAACAGACGAAACACAATAAATACTGTCAATGCTTTCAGAGGTGAATGTCAGCTGTTTGGGAACGCAGTCGTGGTAGACAATTATACAGGAATACTTTGACGACAGACTTTGCTCGGGCATTTCAGAACGACCAAAACAACATTTCAGATGCTGTGCAACAAAATCGGTCCACTGGTTAGTCGGGTTATGCCGTCCCATAGCGCAAAGTCACATGACTTTTTTGAACGCTCATGCGGGATTTATTCGCAAAATGCATTTCCATCTCCCATTATTCACATTAACCCTTTTTCATACAAGTCAAAAACCACCTCAAGCGAACGTAAAAACTTTTTTGCGAATTAAGGGATTTCTTTTCGAAATTTGCCATTTCCATCACTCGTTTCTGATGCGATACTTCAAAATGCGAATAAAACGAGGTTGATGGAAACATAGCTAGTATTTGGTTTTAATCTCGCCTTGATTTTAGGCAGTGCTTGAAGTGAAAAAAAAAGAAGTCCCCCATTTGCTTATTTATTTATTTATTAAATAAACAAGTACTTTTTTATAATTCACAATCTATGTATACAATCAATTAATCAATATTTAAATCAGTTTTCAATACAAATTAGCACAAGTCAAGCTGCGATACCAAACAGGACCACAGGGAGACGCCAAAGACCACTAAACCTCCTGCATTGACCTGACTGCATGTGGATGTATTCAGAATCACTAAACCTCTGACCACAGCATAATCTAAACACCTTCAGTCAGCAACACTCTTGCTTTTAAGCCAAATACACGCTGAAAATAATAATTTACCAACATCTGGATGCAAGTCACTGTTCTCTCCGCAATCTCTAATGAAATCGGCCGTGTTTTCTCTGCATTAGCGCTGTTTTGAATTCTCTTTGAATTCACTTACTGGATCCTGGGACTTTTAAAATGATGTAATCGCAAAAGCCTGCTTCTTTTCCTTTTTAAGGTATTGTTTTCGTTATAAAGTACTGATTCAAATTAGTAGTCAATAATTAATTATTATTCTACCTCCCCTGACATGCTTTCGCGGTCCACACATTGAACCCTGAGGTAGACCGACTCCGCTTGCATTCATTCACGTGATTGGTCGAGATGAGAGGTGACCCCCCCCCCTCCCCGCCCCCCCGGGTAGTGTGATTTATAGTCAGTGTTGCCAACTTAGCAATTTTGTTGTTAAATTTAGCAACTTTTCATCCAAAAGCACCTAGCAACAAATTTAGCTGTGTGTGTGTGTGTGTGTACCTGGTATTTATCACGTTATGGGGACCAAATGTCCCCACAAGGATAGTAATACTAGTC